CAAGAAAACAGAGAAGTAGCTGTTCACGAGAGTGGAGGGCAGGGTCCTCACGACCAGAGAAGGGGCTGTAGATGTGAGACACCTGGAACACAGCCCACTGGGCTGGGCTGCAACTGACTGCAGGGCTGGAGCAGGGGAAGTGTTAGATAAGATGAACCCTACGCATGTGACAAAGGACACAGCAGACTTCTTGAAGGGGCCCCCACTGGCCAAATCAGGAATGATGGAAGCATTACAATAACAATAGGATGGAGTTTATCATATAATAATATATTACAGGACATCATAAGTATACATATAGCAAAGTAGGCAGATGGATAGATGGGTGGATGGACAGACAGTGGGTAGATAGAAAGATGGATAGATAGAAAGATGGTCAGATAGATTGGTAATCGACAGATATATAGACAGATGGGCAAACAGAAAGGTAGGTGGGTGTATAGATAGATTAGATAAAGACAGATGGGGAGAGAAAGACAGGAAGATGGATAAATGGATGGATGGACAGATGAGAGGGTGAGAGTGACAGAGACAGAGAGAGAGGATAGACAATCAGATGAGAGACACGTGGACCAACACAACCACTCCTCATTTCCTAGCTCTAGCTCTAAGTAACATGAATTTTCAAGAGTAAATAAAGTCACATTTCATTTCATAGGGAACAATGGATTTAATTCAGCTGACATAACTTAATACTTGTATGTATAGGCAAAAGCATTAACTGGCAGGAAACGGTAAAGTCACTTTAATCAGTGCAAGAGCTCCCTGGAGCTTCCAGGAGAACACAGACCTGCAGAGACCTCTGCTGCTTACACTGCACTTCCCCAGCGTCTCACTCAGTCCTCACAGGAGCTCAGCACCAGCGGCCTCACTTTGGGAGGAGGAGATGAAGGCACGGAAAAGCTAAATGGTTCTTTCGCAACCACACGATTAATTACAGAAAACAGAGTTTGGATACAAGTCTACTGGGCAGAATCCTATGGTTTTTCCAATTTTACATTAAGGGAAGTTATTAATGTTTGGCCTTAAGAAGTTACATCAATAACTGTTAGCTACAGTTCCTCCTTCCTGAAGCCCAGGGAAGTGCTTACGCATCAGAGGCCTGTGACAGAGAGGGATTCAGAGGAGGAAGCCCACACAGCCTGTTCCAGAAGCATGACCCGGGGCATATCTCTGGAGAAGAAAGATCTTACTTGGACAAGGAGAAGAAAAAGATTAGAGGCTGAAGAATTACAGAGCAAGGACATCACGTTTGTCCTAATTCCTTATCTTTCCAAGCAGGGAAAACTTAGGAGAACAGCACAAAAGCAAAAGCTGGCAAGCACATTAAAGTAAGCGAATGTGTGTCTGTGCATGAAAATTAGTCTTGGATAAAAACACAGGCCCCCAGACCCAGCCCTCCTAGGCAGAACATGTCACGAGTTCAGGAAGAGGCAACACAGCTCACAAAACAGAGCACACCCCCACTCTGTGGCGGAGCTTCCTGTCCAAGGCCTCCCTCTCAGAGGAGGGAAGGGCAGCTCCCACCAGTGTGCTGTCTTGCCCCACAGCATGGCAGTCTGGACACGAAAACTGGCCTCTGTGCCTGGGGCAGCATGGCAGGCTGAGTGGGTTACAATGCACGACATGGGTCCTGGACTGAGGGCTGACTCCTAACGTCCACTCCCCCACTCCGCCCCATTGGCCAACAGTCCTGAGGCTTCACCTCCGTCATATAGTTCAAGGGTGTGGACCTGGGACGGTGGAAAGCATAGGGACACTTGTAAAGGCCCCTGAGAGGATGGACCCTACCTTTCCTTCTCTCTTGTCCTGAACATGGAGTGACGAGAATGCGAGGCAAGGAGCTGCTGCTGTCACTCTGATACAACACCAGGCCTATGTGATCCATGTACTGTTGGGAAGTGTGGGTATAAAAATGTCTCCAAGAAGGAAACTTGGCCAGTGTTGTAGCTCAGTGGGTTAAGCAGCAGCCTTCAAGGCCTGCATCCTATTTGGGCGCTGGTTCAAGTCCCGACTGCTTCACCTCTGATCCAGCTCCCTGCTGGGAGCACCTGGGAAACCAGTGGAAGATGGCCCAGGTATTTGGGCAGCTGTCACCCATGTGAGAGACCTGAATGCAGTTCCCAGCTCCTGGCTTCAGCTTGGCCCAGCCTGTTGTGGCCATTCGGGTAATGAACCAGCAGATGGAAGACCTCTCTTTCTCTAAGTCTGCCTTTCAAACAAATAAATCTTTTAGAAAGAAAAACAAAGGGCTGGTGCTGTGGCATAGTGAGCTAAGCTCTGCCTACAGGGCCAGCATCCAACATGGGCGTCAGTTCAAGTCCTGGCTGCCCCTCTTTCGATCCAGGTCTCTGTTAATGGCCTGGGAAGGCAGTGGAAGAAGCCCAAATGTGTGTGCCCCAGCATTTGCGTGGGAGACCCTGAGGAGGCTCCCAGCTTCAGATGAGCCTAGCTCTGGCCGCTGCAGCCATGTGGAGAATGAACCAGTGAATGGAATACCTTTCTCTCTGTCAGTAACTCTAGCTCTCAAATAAACAAATTCAAAAACCTTAAAAAAAAAAAAGGAAAAAAGACAACGGAGATTCATTTTGTGTTTCCTATGGACCAGGAACTATGCTGGTGTTGCTGTACGTAGGAGTCATGGTGAAATAAAACCAAACAGCCCATGAAGGGGCATTTCTAAGCCTGTGGGAAACCTGAGAACAAAGCTCAGAGAGGCTATGTCCTTGTCCAAGGCCCCAGGTTAGTGGAGAACAAACCCAAGGCCTGAAATCTCAGTTCCAGGGCTGCCTGGATGGCTCAGCCTCCCTCCCCTCCAGCGTCTCTGGGAGATCAAGTCCCTTCTTGGTGGCCATGCCCTGTGAGGAACAACCCTTTCCAGCTTCACTGATGAGAGTCCTGCTTGCTCAGAGATCCGCACACGGCCCAGAACGTTCCATGAACTGCGGAGTGCCCTATTATACAAGGTTTTCTAAATTTAAAAATGATCCAAGCCACGATGCAGATAAAAATTATTAAGAAAGGCTTTTCTAGTCTTTTATTTTAAAAAATGAATCGTGCCCTTAATCCCAAATCAAACAGATTCCACTCGAAGCCTTAGTTAGAGCGAAGCCCACAAGGAAGCCCTCCCTTCCCAGCAGGCAGGGGGCACAGCAGAGCAGCTGTGGCCTCCTCAGGCCCACCCGTGCCTCACTGCTGCACATCCCTCCCGAGACAGAGCCCTTGGCAGCCAGAGCAAGCCCTCAGGCTGCAGCCCAGGCTGTGGGCACTGCCCTGGCCACCTCCAGCTGAGCAGCTGCCTCAAGAGTGCCCTTCAGACACCTGCCAGGAATATGTGTGCCAGGTGGCCCTGCCCACCCAGCTCTGGGGGGTCACACAGCTCTGGCTATACCACACCTGCCTTCAATGAGCTATGAGGAGAGAGACACTGAGCAGCCCCATGCCACGCACTCCTGCTGCACAAGATGCTCATGGAAACCTCATGCCCTGGGGCTGTTCTCAATGTGGGGGGCAGGGCAGGGACCAGCAGCCCAACCCCGTGGGGACTGGTTCCACAGACACCTGGGGTCACAGCACCCCCATCAGCGGCAAAGCCACGTCTCAAGCTTCTTTTCAGTCTTCAGATGGGTCAGGGACACGGAAATCACTTGAGGTCAGTTCATCCATTTCTACAGGTGCCTACTCTGTAGGAGTCACAGGCCTCCACCATCTCAAGTCTAGACCCAGCAGGAGAGATGGTCACCTGTCCAGGAAGGCAATTCCTGGACCACACATGGTGGTGAATGTCATGACGGAGGTGACCAATGTACCATGGAAACCAGAGGACTGGCTTTGCACCCAGAAGGCAACTGAGCTGGCTGTGAGTCTACAGAAACAGTGTGGGGGAAGGGAGGTAGGCATTTGGCCTAGTGGTCAAGACACTAACCCTAACCCCCACCTAAGATATCTGGTTCCCACATTTGAGTGCCTAGGTTCAATACCGAGCTGACTCTGGCTTCCTGCTAACGCAGACCCCAGGAAGCAGTGGTGATAGCTCAGGTGAAGGGGTTCCTGACACCCCTGTTGGAGACCTGTACTGAGTTCCTGGCTCTGTGCTTCAGGACTGAGCTAGACCATTGCAGTCATTTGGAAAGTGAACTAGAGGACAGAATCCATATCTATCTATCTATCTATCTATCTATCTATCTATCTATCTATCTCTGTCTATTTCTATGCCCCTCAAATTAATTATAGAAAGAAAAATCTCAGCCAGCACCATGGCTCACTTGGCTAATCCTCCACCTGCAGCACCGGCATCCCAAATGGGCACTGGTTTCTAGACCAGGTTGCTCCTCTTCCCGTCCAGCTCTCTGTTTTGGCCCAGGAAGGCAGTGGAGGATGGCCCAAGTGCTTGGGCCCCTGCACCTGCATGGGAGACCAGGAAGGAGCTCCTGGCTCCTGGCTTCAGATCGGTGCAGCACTGGCCGTGGCGGCCATTTGGTGGGGGGGTGAACCAACACAAGGAAGACCTTTCTCTCTTTCTCTCTCTCTCACTGTCTGTAACGCTACCTGCCTAATTAAAAAAGGAAAGAAAGAAAAAATCTCTCTAAAATAAATGAATAAAGGAACGGGTTAACACCAGACAAAGTCAGGGAGAGGACAATGAATGCCAGCAATAGGCAGAGCACGTGCAAAGGCACTGAGGCCGGAAAGCTCCTGGCATGTTCCAGAAGTTTCTCCCATTCCTGTGCTGCTGGGCCACGTGGCCCAAGGAAAAGGAGCTGACTGGAACCTTGTAAGTAGGAGAGTGACAAGGTCAGACTAGTCTCAGTCACAGCCCAGGCAGACCTGGATCTGGACGTGGCTCTGCCATTGAACAGGCAAGTGCCTGGGGCCACTGTGGGACATCACAGGTCCAATCTCTCGCGTCCACATATCCCAGGATGGCGGTCATCCAGGAAAACATGGAGTTCTTCTCAAGATCTCTACACGTGGGGTGGGAGAAGCCCCGCCCACCTTACCTGACAATGGGGAGCTTGGTGAAGGGCACAGGGTCAGGGTGAGGCCATCTGGGAGAGTGATGAGCTCCATGGTCCCAGGACACTTGGAGGTGTAGTTCTCCAGGCTCTGAGTCACATCCTTCTTCTCTGAAGAGAACACAAACACAAGATAAAGGCTCATTAAACAGAACGGGCAGCTGCGGTATTTCCTGAGCACTCCGAGGTAGACAGGTATGGACCATGGAGGCGAGGGCTGTGCAGGCGTCCCTCAGTGGATCCAGACATTCAGCAGTAGCTGCTCCATGTGAGGGCCTAAGGATGGAGGCAACATCAAGGCACTCTCCTCGACGAGGTTTCCATTGGCCCAGGAAACGTGTCTGCACCAAGTTCCAAGGCAGCCAGCAGGCAAGACGGGGGGAGGAGTGTGCCTGCGACCAAACAGCACTTTCCCAGCTGTTTGTTTTTTTAAAGGTTGAGAAGTAAAGATACAGCTTTTGGGACACAAACTCCTTAAAGGGAAGAAGACCTTGCCTTTACCCATACTTGCATTTTTCTGAGCACTCATGCAGGCCAAGTACCATGCTGTGTTCCTCAGACTACAAAATCTGGAAGGAGGGGCCGGCATTGTGGCATAGTGGGTAAAGCCATCACTAGCAATGCCAGTATCCCATTTGGGTACCGGTTGGAGTCCCAGCTGCTCCATTTCCAATTCAGCTCCCTGCCAATGTGCCTGAGAATGCAGCAGAGGCTAGCCCAAGTTTGTGGGCCTCTGTAGCAACATGAAAGACCCAGATGGAGCTCCAGGCTGCAGCCTGGCCTAGCACTGGTCATTAAAGGTATTTGGGGAGTAAACCAGTGGATAGGAGATTGCTCTCTGTCTCTCCCTCTTTCTTTCTCTGTTATTCTGCCTTTTTTTTTTTTTGACAGGCAGAGTGGACAGTGAGAGAAACAGAGAGAAAGGTCTTCCTTTGCCATTGGTTCACCCTCCATTGGCCGGCACGGCTAGCGCGCTGGTGCCGGCGCACCACGCTGATCTGATGGCAGGAGCCAGGTACTTATCCTGGTCTCCCATGGGGTGCAGGGCCCAAGGACTTGGGCCATCCTCCACTGCACTCCCAGGCCATAGCACAGAGCTGGCCTGGAAGAGGGGCAACCGGGACAGAATCCGGTGCCCTGACCGGGGCTAGAACGCGGTGTGCCGGCGCCGCAAGGTGGAGGATTAGCCTAGTGAGCTGTGGTGCCAGCCTGTTATTCTGCCTTTCAAATAAATAAAAACAAATCTTTAAAAAAAAAAAAACCTTGAAGGCAAGAGATCTTGGTATATTTAAAGAACTTCAATACTTTTTATTCAAAATAGGTACATGATACTTTCCCTCAAAATTTCTATAAAAGAAGGGGTGAAGAGGGGGTCCAGTGCCGTGGCACAGAAGGTGAAGCCTCCACTGGCAGTGCCGGCATCTCATATGGGTGCTGGTTCAAGTCCTGGCTGCTCCACTTCTGATCCAGCTCCCTGCTAATAGCCTGGGAGCACACTGGAAGATGGCCCAAGTGCTTGGCCCCTGCATCCACATGGGGGACTGGATGAAGCTCCTGACTCCTGGCTTCAGCCTGCTCTACCCCTGGCCACTGCAACCATTTGGGGAGTTTACCAGTGGATGGAAGATCTCTCTGTCTCCACCTCTCTCTCTTGGGAATTCTGTCTTTCAAAAAAATAAATCAATCTTTTAAAAAAATCTTCAATTATTATTGAAACAAAAAGAGGTGGGGGAGAGGCATTATTATCCCCTTTGAAACATGATAGACTAACTCAAGGATAATCTGGAAAATTTCATTATGCACTGGTTATAAATGCTACCAAAATCTAATTTTTTAAAAGACTTATGTTCAGCACCCATTTGGAATGCCAATGCCAGAGGCTTTGGCTTAACCCATTGCACCACAGTGCCAGTCCCTAAACATTAATTTTTAACTATGATATTAACATTGTGGTAATATATGAGCATGCCCATTTTTTAGAGGCTTACTAAAGTATGAAGATGTGAAATGACACAATGTGGCCAGGATTTTCTTTTAAATAACTCAAACAAAAAAAGCAACAGATGAAGTAAATGCACAAAAATCTTGGTAAGTATTAAATTTTGGTGGCTAATATTTGGAGATTCACATTACTATGCTTTGTACCTTTTTTTAAAGATTTTTTTCAACTGAGGAGGCTTTAAAAAGTTCATGAAGGGGCCAGCATTGTGGCATCATGGGTGAAGCTGGTGCCTGCGACACCAACACCCCATATGGCTGCTGGTTCAGATCCCAGCTATTCCACTTCTGTTCCAGCTCCCTGCTAATGGGAAAGCAACAGAAGCTGGCCAAGTGCTTGGGTCCCTGAATCTCCATGGGAGACCTGGAAGAAGCTCCTGGCTCCTGACTTCAGTCTGGCCCAGCCCTGGCCATTGTGGCCATTTGGGCAGAGGACCAGCAGATGGAACTCTATCTCTGTCTGTAACTTCACCTTTCAAATACATAAAATAAATCTTAAAAAAGTTCATGAAAAACGTGTATTATGGAAAATCTATTAATGAATCTCAAAAATGTCTTTTACTGAAAAAAATTTTCTTTTAATTCCATTTTCCTTGAACATTTTGAAGCATCCTGGAAGCTTAAGGGGCTTGGGGACAGGACATGATTTCTTCCAGGTAGTACATAGAAACGAGGTCAGCTTGCATCCTCCTGTTCCAACCTGCCCAGGCACCCATGTAACAAAGGGGAGCAAGCACAAGGCCCCACGCAGCGGCCACTGACATCTGCTCCACACACCCAGACTCTCACCCCAGACACTCCGGTCAGCGGGAGGAGGGCACTCATTATTTCACTAAAATCCAATACATCCTGTCCATGTTGACCAGAGTACCTACCGCTAACTGTAGACAGAGCATCTAACGCCTTTGAAACTCAAATTTTCCACCCCAAGAAATTAAAGAATTCACACAGAAAAACCAGAGCATTCTTAATGAAAACGAGCTGTCACCTCACTACAGAAGCAGAAAATCCGGCAACCAGAGCTTCAGACCATGAACGGCTTCCAGGCCATTTGCCATCCATGAGCTGACACCGGCAAGAAAACCAGCACGTCAGGATTTCACAGTTCACTCCTGCTTCTCCCCAGCAACAACACGAGACAGCCGCACAAGCACCCAGTTAGGTGTGGCTTTCTGAACAGGCGGACGACAGGATGAGGACAAGCAAATGCACCCCCTTTTCCTGGAGGAAAGTGAAGATGGCAGAGGTGAAAGTACAGCTGAGGTCGGACCCCAGCTGAAACAATGTTTTCAGAATCTAGCCCTGGACTGTCAGCTACACAAACAGGGACCACACTAAGGCTTCAATTCTCATAAATGGTATTGTTGATCTGTGTGGGGAAGAGAGAATCCCAGCACACGGCTGGTGGGAATGTGGATGGGAAAACTCCATGGAGGCTCCCAAAGAAATTTAAAAGTAGACTTTCCAGTCCTTCCCTTAGCTACTGACCCAAAGAGGGAGAATTGCCTTGTGCAGATACGTGCACCCTCATGTTCACTGCAGCCAAGGCACAGAAACAACCAACATGCTCACTGGTGAGGGGGTGAATAAAGAACTTTGTGTGTGTGTGTGTGTGTGTGTGTGTGTGTGTGTGAGAGAGAGAGAGAGAGAGACAGAGACAGAGAGAGACAGAGAGAGAAAGAGACAGAGAGAGAAATGGGATACTAGTCAGCCTTAAAGAAGTAGGAGATCCTGCCATTTGCCACAGCACAGAGAGACCTGGAAGACTTGCTGTGTGAAATACAGACACAGGAAGAAAAACACTGCATGATCTCATTTACATGTGGAATGTTTAAAAAGAGCTCAAGGGGCTGGAGTTCTGGCACAGTGGGTTAAGCCACTTCTTGTGATGCCAGCATCCTACAACGGAGCACTGGTTCGGGTACAAGCTTTTGTGCTTCCAGTCCAGTTCCCTGACAGTGCACATGGGAAAGCAGCAGAAGATGGCCCAAGTGCTTGGGCCCCTCACCCAGGTGGGAGACCCAAAAGAAGCTCCTGGTTCCCAACTTTGGCTTGGCCCAGCCCCAACCACTGCAGCCATTTAGGGAGTGACCCAGCAGATGGAATCTCTCTCTCTCTCTCTATCTCTATCTCTATCTCTAACACTGCCATTCAAATAAATAAATAAATCTTTAAAAAATATCAAATGCCCGGGGCGGAGCCAAGATGGCGGAATAGTGAGGGCGCTCACCGATAGTCCGGGAAAATTTAGTTTAATAAAAGGGGAGTTACGGTAGCCGCAGAAAATAGAACCAAACAAAAATTGCAGGGGAAACCCTTCTGAATGGAGCAGGCGTGAATCGGACGACCTACTGGGAGAACAAGGTCGCCCACCGCACGGAAGCAAAGTCGCGGGACCCAGCCGCAGAAGCCCCAGGGTCTGCGCGACAGTGCTCCAAGGAGAGTGCACGCCACACAGAAAACAGCGGGGAGACTTGAGACGCTCAGGGCTCCGAGTCCACACATCGGCGCTGGAAGGGGAGGTGAGCTCAATAACCCGAGACATTGGTGGGGAAACGGGGGTCAGAATCTAGAGGGGGGCCGGAAAGTGCAGCAAACTCACTACCGGAAAGAAGGAAAAAAAAAAGCTTCGGGGTTTCTCTTCCCCCTAACCTTGCAAAGGTTACAAGGCTGCCAGACTTGAAGAATTCCCAAGAGACAAAGAGCAGGCCTCCTCTTTGGATTTACATATCAGTGGGGGAGAGTTAAGGAACTGAGTCACTACAATTCAGTAGCCTAGGCAACCCAGTGGGAGTCCAGAGGAGCCAAAGACTGGAAGCTAAATACCATCAATTCTGCACAGCCCTGCCCTGCAGTGTTACTTACCCCCTGAATAAATAAAATAAATAAATAAATAAAAAGAGAGAGATTTACCACACATAACCTGAGGGTGTCACCTTTACACACCCTTAACCTGGAAGAACCAGGCAGAGCTCTCAGGCCGCACCCATCTCAAGCCTCCAAGGCTCCTCCAACAGCAGGCAGTCCACTTAACACGGACACAGTATAAAAAAAAAAAAAAAGAAAAAAAAAAGCGCACAGTGACGCAAGAAGAATTAACTATGCCGAGTAAC